ATATTATCGCATTGTAACTTTGAACATTCTTTATGCATTCATCAACTGATGGAAACAAATTGATTCCCTGTCTCAGCTTTTGTGTATAATATAGCAATAAACAGAGGAGTGAAGATGGTCCTTCTGCATACTGATTTAATGTCATTTGTACATATAGTCAGTTGTAGAATTGTTAGATCATATGGTAATTCTTTTAAAAAAAAACTTTTTTGAGGAATTTCCATGATAGCTGTACTAAATTATATTCCTACTAACAGTGTGCAAGAATTCCCTTTCTTAACATCTGCTCTGGTACTTTTACCTTTAGTCCTTTTAATACTTTTCACTCTTACTGGGATGTGGTACTGTGTTCTCACAATTGTGAACTGCTTTTCTTGAGCATTAATGATGTTGAGGATTTTCCCTTGTAACACTACCCAGTTGTGCATATGTTTTTGAGAAATACCTCTTTTAAGATCTGAGGCCCATTTTTAACTTGATTATTTGACATTGTGCTAGTGAAATTTTGGAGTTCTTCTATATTCTGAACATCACTTTCCAGTCACATACCTAGTGTGAAAACTTTATTTTATTCTCTGGGTTGTCTCTAAATCCACTGAGTGCTTTATTGAATGTTCAGACATTTTTAGTTTTATATAATCCCACTTGCCTATTTTTCACTTGATTTCCTGTGTTTTGAAGGTTTTATCCAAAATATCCCTGCCCATTTCAAAGTCTTGAAGCCTTTTTCACCAATTTTCTTCTGGCAGTTTCAGTCAATTTAAATTTGTATTGTATTTTCAGTTGATTTTTTTAACTGGTGAAAGATAAGAGTCTAGTTTCATCCTTCTGCTTGTGGATAACTAATTTTTCTAGTACTGTATCGTGAAAAAACTGTTCTATTTTCAATGTGCATTTTTAACACTTCTGTTGATAAACAATTGACTAGAGATACCTGAATTTTTTTCTAGCTCTCTATTCTATTTCATTGGTCTATATTTCGGTTTTCATACTGGAAACTGCTTCAGAACAACTGCATGGGCCAAGATTATTTTGTCAAGGCCCAAAAGCATGCCAAAGAGATATCTGCATTCCCATGTTTATCTCAACATTATTCACAATAGTGAAAGAGAGATATAAACAACCAATATGTCCTCCAGATAATGAATGGAGAAACACAGTATAGCCTGTATGCACAATAGGGCAATATTCAACAAAAAATGAAATCTTGTTATTTATAACAACATAAATAGAATTGGAAACCATTGTGTTATAAGAAAAAAGCTGATCATAATAAGAAAATTAATGTCACCATATTATTCTAACATGGAATATAAAATAACAGGTGATGTAGGAGTTGAAATTATAATGGCTGTTACCAGCAAACAAGAAAAGTAAGAAGGAGAGAGGAACAAAAAAGTTTGATCAATGGTTATTGCATTGTGGTCTATTAACAATGGGAGTTTCTGGTGCACTGTAAGGTGACTATACATTTCAGTATTTCATTGAGAGTCTCAAAAATGTGTAAAAATATTTTATATATATTCACTATTAAGAAATAATAAATGTTTGAGATACATATATTTAGCCTGATTGAATGTTATGCAGTGAAGTCGGACATGGTGGTATATACCTGTAGTCTCAACACTCAGGAGTCCTAAAATTAGTTGATTTTCATTGAACTTGATGACAATATCACTCTCAACTCACCTCATCACCCACCACTTATATATGTACATGAACAAATATGTATATGTGTACACATATATAAAATACCAATGTTTTATGAGTTTTAAGAAAAAAAGAATCATACTTGCATAGTATATAAATTTCCTCTATTTAGTGTATGTATGATTTGCTTCTAGATGTATAAATTAATGGATATATAAATTCATGCAGATGTGAAAACATACAAATATATGTTTGTTTTCAAGAGTTGAACTAAAACAATGATACATACATATTACTACCTGAATTCCCCTTGTTATGTTTTTGTAAAGAAGACTGATTCTGAAAACACTAAAGGATGAATTAAAATGATTTTCATTAAGGGATGAATTAAAATGATTTTCATCATTTTAGATGGTGAATATATGAGGCTTTCTGCCACCCTCTGAAGAAATGTTTAAAATAATCTTTTAAGACTTCATTAAAATTATGTCATACACCCCACTCTCCTTATAATTGTAAACTGAATACCTGAAAGCAGGAACTGTAGAATAGTACAACCATTTTGCAGAACAATTTGATTTCTGACCAAGTTACACATGTACTAACTTTAAAACTTGGCAATTCTATTGTTAGGTTTTGAATAAAAATAAATGAGAGTATTTTTCACCAAAAGATATAAAAATTTTCATGCAACTCAAATATTAATAAATTGACCCAGAATATATGGTATATTTATGCAATGGCTTATATCTCAAAAGTATTAAGGAGAAAGTTCTAAATATACATTAATCCAAAATCATTTCATTAAAAATAATCCAGACACACAGCTGTATTCTATAATTCAGTTCTGTGCATTTCAGTACAGATGAAGAAAACATCAGTTGATAGAAATAAAAAGTGATATCCTCTCGAAAATGGTAAAAATTTAAAGGAGAAAGAGAGATTTCTGGTGCATAAAAATGTTCATTTTCTTATCTTAGGTGGCATTCTACAAATGTGTGCTAGTTCTGAAACTGATTAATTGAAAGCTGAAGAGCTGAATGCTTTATTGTGTATAATATACTTTGCTAGGAAAAATCCTACAAACTATTGGTGTGATTGAAGTATAGAAGTATATGTGATAAACATTATATTAATGAAATTTTAAAGGCATTTTTTCTAAGATTGGACCAAACACAAAGCTCAAACCATAATCACTTTTATTTAGCATTGGTTCCATATAATGAAATCAAGCCAAAAATGGTAATGATTGAGCATAAATAATTAAAAGTGGTGATTTCTTTAGACACCTCTGATGCTAGTTCGCAATTTTGGTGCTGTGGATACTAGCAGTGCTGACAATGGTGAGTGGCCTGAAGTAGTCCAGGCCCAGGTGCTGCACAGGAAGGCCAGTGGCAGGACTTGCAGCAATCTCTCTGTGCTGTGTGCCCTCAGTTCTGGCAATAGCATGTTGTTAGCAAAGTGCTGTGGTGTGGCATAGATGGGACGGCAGCAAGGGATGAGGTGGCAGCAGGGGATGAGTATTGCTCTCTTCTAGTAAGGTGGTACAGTACACTTTGGAATGGGACCTTGGCCAGAGGTGCAAAAAGATGTCCTTGGAACCTGCATCAGAGACACCTGGGGATGAGATGTGGGTTGAAGCCTTGTCATAGAATTATTCAAGCTCCAGCAGCATTGGATGTGGACAGGGAAGTGGTGGGAACCTATGTTTCCACTGGTTTACTTGTTTTGTTTTTGTTTTTGTCTTTTGTAACTGGTGTTTGAACATAGTGCAGGGGGAGAGACTTTGAGAACTCCGTAAGTACAAACCTTCAACGCTGTCACCAGTAGGAGTCCACACATGGGTAGCACCTTTGTTTTTAGAAGACATTCACCTCAATCTACTGGTTCTTAAAGTAGCACTCTTTCTTTCTCTCTGTCTTATAAAACTTGTCTGTCACACAATTGAGAATCATAGTCACTTTGCCCTGTCAGGTACTTTCAGGTGCTAGGTATCTCCCAAGTCAGTGCAGTGCAATCTCTATAGATTCTCTTTCAACAACAATATTTAAGGATTTCAGATTCACAAACTTTCAAATTAAGATTTTAGAACACTTTTCAAGATGGCTCATAAATTCTAAGTACCTGGGAGTTTACTGGCAGAATGTATAAAATCCTTTATCAAAGCAAGGCTACTGTGCAGAGTTCAGGGCCTTGCTGAAGCGGGCCACAAACTCAGAGGGACTGTGGAAGTTTCCAGCGCCTGGGACTGCCAGTGTTTGGACTTTTCCTTGCATGTAAAGGGGAGATCTTCCACACATCAAATTAGTTGTGAAACTGGGTGTATCAGGGTGTTTTGTTTATCTTACCACATTAATGTCCCAGTCTGAAGCTTAGAAGCTTTAATTTTTCTATTGCTGGTTCCTCTGTTCTTCCATGGTATCTCACCACAAGTGCACCTATACACATGTTACTTTGAGTCTTATAGTAGAGACAGGCAAATGTTGAACAGTCTACTCAGTCATCTTGACTCCCCTTTCCACATTTTATTTATTCATTCATAAGTTAATGGACACTCCATTTGTGTCCATTTCTTGGCTATTGTAAATAGTACAGTAAGGACCATGTGAATGCAGAGATGTCAGATTTTATGCTTCTATTTTTTGTTTATCAACCTATATCACTTAGGTCATATTAATGTCAACATATGAATGCTGTTCTCTCTGATAACAGAGAATAGTAGTATCTGAAAGATTCAAGATATTTCTCATGGGGCTGGGGATTTAGCTTAGCGGCATAAGTGCCTGCCTTGCAAGCAGCGGTTGTGAGTTCAATCCCCAGTACCTATATAAAAGAAAAAGACAAAAAATAAAATAAAAAATATTTCTCATAACCTAACAAAGCTGTGAAAAGAAATTTAGAGAAAAGAATATTAGGAGTAAAGGAAATCACTAAGGCAAGTTTCAAAGTCCTTTTTTTCAATAACTGGAGGAATTGTCTTTTAACAAATTTCCTTCAAGAACAAATGTTCACAGGAGAAGAAAATACGTACATCTTCCTGGCGTGCATTTGAGACTTGTCCATCATGCAAACTACATTAGGAATATATGTAATTTTATTGTTCCAAAAAAACTTAAAATTCACTGATAGAATGTTTCTAACAGACAACTCAAATTTAGACTCTTTTCTTTAAAATTTTGTTTTTATCACTTACAAGTTTCACAAAAATAGAATTCAATCAATACTATATCAGATATCCAATGAATATTGATTTCTACAATGACAGCTGTACCTTTAGAATTTTACTCTTGTCTCTTCTAAAATAATATTATTCTTCATTTTTGATATTAGTTACTAAAACTATTCTGTATTTATGTATTTTTCTCCTTATAAAATAGCTTTAGCACTCCTTCCTGGATCTGCTTGGTCTTGACTCCATAAACAATGGGATTCAGAGTTGGAGGGCACATCAGATAGAGATTGGCAATAATAATGTGGACATGGTGGGGAATGCTTTGTTCCCCAAACCGATGAGTAAAAATGCTGAATAAGGCTGGAACATAAGTGATAACAATAGCACATAGGTGGGAGGTACAGGTGCCAAAGGCCTTCTGCCGAGCTTCTACAGATGACAAACTCACCACTGCACGCAATATCATGGTGTAAGACACGGAGATACAAAACATATCAAATCCCCCAATCAAAAGGGCTGCCAAGAGTCCATAGACAGCATTGATCTTAACATTGCCACAGGAGACCTTGGCCACTGACATGTGGTCACAGTAAGTATGGGGGATGAGGTTCCCCTGGCAATAGGGCAGGCGTTTGGTGAGGAAAGTAAATGGGACAATTAGCATCACACTCCTCAAGAAAGTGGCAAGACCAGCCTTGGCAATGACAGGGTTGGTGAGGATGGTGCCATAGCGTAAAGGATAGCAGATGGCCACATAGCGGTCCAGGGCCATGAGCATGAGCACTCCAGACTCCATCCCTGTCAACGTGTGGACAAAAAACATCTGTGCCAGGCAGGCATTAAAGTCAATCTCCTTGAGGTCAAACCAGAATATGCACAGCATGTTGGGAACAGTTGTGGAGCACAGGGTGACATCAGTGAAGGACAGCAGAGCCAGGAAGTAGTACATAGGCCGGTGCAGGGCCTTCTCATGGCCAATGAGGTAGATGAGCCCACAGTTTCCCAGGACAGCAACAATGTACATGAGGCAGAATGGGAGGGAGATCCAGATGTGTTCAGCTTCCAGGCCAGGAATACCATTCAAGATGAAGAATCCCAGGATCAGGCTGGAGCTATTGGCTCCAGACATACTGGGCGACAGGAGGAGAACATTTTATGCTGTTTCTCAAAATGAGTTGCTGCATAAAAGAAGGAGAAATAGGGTTGGAGACTAGATAAGTGTGGCTTGTGTGGACAATATGACCCACAAATACCATGAACATTGACCTTATGTTAACAAGGATTTTTTTGAACTTTTGAGAGTTTTCAAACTCCAGTATCTAAAAGTCCCTCCACAAGACAACCACATGCTCTTCAGTGCCCCACTGCAAACTGAGTAACTAGCTACATTTTCTATATTTCTCCCTTAGCATGCATCTCACACCCTACATTATAAACCATGAGCTGGACGCATCCTTCATGCAAGTCATTTCTATTCTCTCCTTTCAGACTCTTCTCTGCTTTCTTGTACCTAAGACCTTGCACTAAAATTACAGGAGTGTATTTGCAGGAGAACCCTAATCTTTTTAAGTCTATAAACAATTTAACTTTCCTATTTTAATAGTTCCTCAAAAATTGACTATTTTGTCCCATCTTGATGAATATGAAGATTGAGCTTTCATTTAAAATCCCTCATTATTGTCCCTGATAAGTTGCACAGATAATATAAAATAGATTCTTAATAAAGCATACTGTTTGGGATCAAATAGATATTTGATGTATAATGACTTGCTATATCTAGTATTCAAACTCTATCTGATCATTAATATATTCTTTAACATTTTTGATTTTCAAAGGATGTTATTGATAGGAGACAAGAAAATATTTAGCCAGGTGTGGTGGTGCATGCCTTTAATCCCAGCATTGAGGAAGCTGAGTCAGGAAAATAACTGCCAGTTAAGGGCCAACCTGGGCTACAAAGTGAGCTGAAGAGCAGCCTGAACTCCACAGCAAGACCCTATTTCACAAGCAAACAAAAAATAGGAAAATGTTTGAAGTTCTAAACCATTAAAAAGCTTTATCTAATTTCTATAATTATTTTATTAAAGACAGATTCATCTGAATACAGCATTGTTTCTGTGCTTTTTCACTTTTAGAAAACTTAATTACATATCTATTCTCAATATTAGATTTATTGTCAGGAAAATCTACATATTATTGATTGAACTGACCAGACAGTACAAAAATACTGTCATACCTTTGAATTGCTATTCCTTTTAAACTAGTAGGATGAATTGACTGGAATCTAAACAGCTTAGAGATTCTGGGGTGTTTGAGGAAATTTAAAGTTTCTTAATGATTACAATGTTTCTTTTACTTAAAAACAGAAGAACAATGTTTAAATTCTGTAGTTGACATTACAAAGCAAAGCCATCAAAGCACAGTCAAACGCATCGTGGCATGCAGATAACTAAATAGACACTTGTAGCATTGAAGGTGGACTACAAGGCTGTGAAGCAAAGATTGCAGGAATCTGAGTTCCTGCAAAGATTGCAGGAATCTGAGTTTTCTGGAAGTCACTGCTATAACCTTTCTTGCTGGTTAAGTACACAAAACTTCCTAAGGTGGAAGTGCAAAAGAACTACAAGTTTCAGGGATCCATGGGTTCTCATTCTTAACTGATGAGATCTCATATAAAATATACTTTCTAATAGAGGAATTCTCATAATGCTGCTTCAGAAATATTACCTTATGGAGAAATCATCATTTCATGATCCTATACCAGAAGAATCTAAAGTTTAAAATTTTTATAAAAAAAGGTTGAAGCTTTGACAATTTTCCCTTTTATGTAAGTATAATACATAAATAAAATATAAACAAACATAATATCAGATAGTATGTTTATATATATGAACTTGACATTATGAAAAGCAAATAAGTCTAAATTCAGAGTAAAAGAATCATTACCCCATAAAAAGTGAAAAGGATAGAGAAATATACTGTTTCTTACTGCTTTTTGTTAAATGTTCCATTTGCATTTTCCCAAAATAAATACTCCTGAAAATTTCCAAACTCACCAGGGTGCCACGCACAGCCACATCCTTATGCGTGGCTAAAAAATCCTTATGAGTTTGTTGAATACTGGAAGGACATCTCCTTACATAGGATTTTTAATTTCCCTGGGGACTCTTTCTTAGCAAGCCATCCTAAAGCTTACTGAGTCTCCATAATTAAGTGTCTCAGTGGGCACAGTTTGAGGGAAAATGAAATTTGTGTCCTAAAAAAAGAGATTTTACAGTTTTGAGTAGAAAAAAATAAAATATCTCTTCTCAAATGTGAACCATAGCCATCAATCAAATCTGGTTGACATTCATATGCCAGTTTTTAAGAATGTTGTTCCTCGGGGCTGGGGATTTAGCTCAGCGGCATAAGCACCTGCCTTGCAAGCAGGCAGTAGTGAGTTAGACCCCTGGTACCGATAAAAACGAAAAAGACCAAAAAAAAAAAAAAAAAAAAAAAAAGAATGTTGTTCCTCATATATCGTGAGGCAGAAAATTTAGAAACTAAAGAATAGTATAATGAAAAGTTAAAAAGTCTCTTGTAATCAGATCATTAACATATGTTATATACATGACCAACTTCCCCTGATAAATATAATAAGTGTGTACAACAAATATTTACTAATAAAAATAAAATTTAAAAAAAACCCTAAATACAGACATAACACTCTAAAAAGTTTTCTTTAGTTCATTCCATCATTTTCTAATTTGTGTGTAATATTCTGGGTTTTTTTAGGAAAATAAATTTCATTTGATATGGAGTCATATACAGTTTCTTTCTCTAATATTATCTTGTGGACATATTTTCCACTTACTATGTAAGCTTTTAAAGCAAACTTAATATGTAAACTCAAACTTTTTCATTTATTTTTTAAATTACTTTATTTGTTAATATTAAGAAGAAAAGGTAAAACAAATTTTCACAACAAAATAATGAAAAAGTAACAATTGTTGATAAATTACATATCATTATCTTTAGTCACTCAAGTACAAAATGTGGGCATAAAAATTTCTTCAATCAGTATTAACACAACCTTTCCTATTCAGTGAACTAAGTGACACTAATGGTATAACTAACTTGCATTTTTTTCTTTTCCCTTCTATCCTTTCTCTTTTCCCCTATCTTAGTTTCTTCTTTTTATTGAACAGTTTCCTCCCATTTCATAGTGACTATTGTATATTTTAAACCTTATGATTTCAAACATGTCACTGTGGTGTGATGTTTTTCAATCCTTCTGGGAAGATACACAGGAGGGGAATACCTGGATTGAATGGGACCTCTAATCCTAATTTTTTGAGGAATCTCCACACTGATTTCCACAGTGTTTGTACTAGTCTACTCTCTAACCAACAGTTGTAAAGGGTTTCTTTTTCCCTAGAGACCCAGCAGCATTTTTTATTGATTGATATTTTTTTAAAAAATTAAATAATTTTTTAATGAATAAGGGAAAGGATGAGATAAAAGGGGGCATAACAACAACAATGCAGTTTAAAGCATGACACTTTCAGCAACCTAGTGCTACACCACCAAATAACCCGACTTAATAGTAGTTACCATAGTGTCTTTTTCTTTGAAATATATGAATATAACTTCATATGCTATAGCATCAATCATATCAAGACTGTGTAACACCATTCAAGTGGATGAAAGCATTGTAAAGTATTTAGAACCAGCTAACAGAAAAACGATCAATGGTTTCAATATTATCTCTTTGCCTATAACAATTTTTGTTTATACTACCACATACGATAAAATCTAGCAAGTTACAACATGATAAAATCAATGGTGACAGAAGAACCATAGTTTGGTGCGGCTTTAAGACAAGATGGTATTAAATTGGCACTAGCTGTTATTATGTCTTATATCTTATATTCTTCAAAGTAGCTGTTCATTGCATCACCGGCCATAATATCAAACAGCCCAGAATAAAGCCATTCCAATTAATGAGTGAAAATTTTATAAGGTTTCAAGGCCATATAATGGGGATCATGGTTATCACATAATTTTATATACTTGATTCATTTCCTACACTAGGGAAACTATTCAGAGTTCACAGATGCGAGTTTGATTTAGTTCACTTATGAGTATGGTTTCAAGCTGCACCCATTTATTGATAAACACCTCAATGTGATCCTTCTTTATAACTGAGTAGTACTCCATTGTATCGAAGTACCACAGCTTTTTTATCCATTCCTCGGTTGATGGACATTTGGGTTGTTTCCATGATCTGGCAATTACAAATTGTGCTGCTAAAAACATAGGTGAGCATATATCACTTTGGTATGATGCTTTCAGTTCTTCTCGGAAGATTCCTAGTAGTGAAATAGCTGGAACAAATGGGACTTCCAATCCCAGCTTTTTGAGAAATCTCCAGACTGACCTCCACAATCGTTGCACCAGTCTACACTCCCACCAATAGTGTAGGAGAGTTCCTTTCTCCCCACAGCCTCTCCAGCACTAGTTGTTGTTGGTTTTCTTGATCCTGGCCATCCTTTCAGGAGTGAGATGGAATCTCAGTGTGGTTTTAATTTGCATTTCCCTAATAACCAATGATGATGAATATTTTTTCATGTATTTATTCGCCATTTGTATTTCTTCCTCTGAGAAGTGTGTATTCATCTCAGATGCCCATTTTTGGATTGGGTCTTTGAATTCTGGGGGTCTGATTTTTTTTAATTCTTTATATATTTTAGACAAAAGTCCTTTGTTTGAGGGGGAGTTCACTAAGATCTTTTCCCAATTTGTGGGTTTTCTTTTCACTATGCTGCAGATTTTTTTTGACTTACAGAAACTTTTTAATAAGAGGTGGTCCCAGTTATTGATTCTGGGAAGTATTTCCCGTGCAGTTTGAGTCCTGTTCATGAATTCTTTACCTACGCCTATGTCGTCAAGGTTTCTACCTACTTTGTCTTCCAATAGATTTAGTGTTTCTGTTTTAATATTCAGATCTTTAATCTATTTAGATTTTAATTTAATACATGGTGATAGGCTTGGGTCGAGTTTAAATTTTCAGCAAATGTAGAGCCAGTTTTTCCAACACCATTTATTGAAAAGACTGTCATTCTTCCAGTGAACCTGCTTGGTTCCTTT